GTGGAGTTACTCGCCTGCCATTCATGTAAACCTTGAGCACTATCAGGATTTGATTTCTTAACGGCGACTGGTACTCCGACACCGGCTCTCGTCGGAGCTAACGTCGTCTCATCAACCCAACCTTTATAAACCTGTCCGAATCCTCCTTCTCCGATGATAGAATCTGACCGGAAATTCTTCGTCGCCGTCTTGAGATCTGCTAAAGTGAACATCTTTAGATTCGGGGTCACTATCTTCCCGCTCGGTGGCACTACTGCTGCTTTTTTCTCCGCCGGTTTTAACGGCGGAGGATTATCGACGGATCTCGCTGTCTTCTCCGGTGGTGGTGGATTATCGACGGATCTTGTTCTCTGTTGCGGTTTTTCGAATCTCGTTTTTTGTCCTGTTCCCGTCGCCGGAAACTTCGGTTTTAAACCCCTAGCCGCCGGAGACGGCGACATCGCTACTAACGCCGGTGGAAACTTTGCATTAACCGGAGTTTGTATGCGTCTCGCCTCTGTTATAAGATCCAACACATGATCTTATTTAGAATTGAAACTTCATTAAAAGTTAAGAAAAAAACAGAGCAAGCATTGACATTTTCACAAACCCATGAAAAGCTTTGTTTTTTTTCTTATTGATTTAAGGACTCAAAAGAAACTTATGAAACAAGAACTGAAAAACAGATCCAAAGTGTCCGGATTTGGGAGAGATATGTGTAAGAACCTGGGAGGGGATTGGTGGAGACGGGGCTCTGTTCGTGACGAACAGAGGAAGATCCACCAGGACAAAAGTTACCCATCAAGACGGTAACAACTCTTGACTTTGCTCTGTTTTTGAGTGATCTTTGCTTCACGCTTTATGATCATAAGATTAGAGAAAGATAATTTTTTTTCTCCAATTGAAAGATGGAGGAAGAAGGTGAGAAATAGAGAGGAAAGAAGACCAAGCAAAAGCTTTTTGGGATATATACTCTCCAAAGGTCGTGTATTTATTATTTGATTTTGTCGTGATTAATCTTCGACTTGATTGGCTTGATATTTTAAATATATTATTGTTATTTTTATTACTAAATATTTTCAACGTTAGTTAAGTCTTGATTCATATTTGTGACGTTTTCTCATTTCATACCTTTATTACTTTACAAATTATAATAATCATGTTTAGTGTCATTTCAAGTTTAATAGAACTTCATTTTCAATATCTTTTTTTTCTTTGTTCTGAATATAAATGAATTTCTATTTTTGTGAAGTCTCCAATGAAGGTGGTCTAAGAATTACATTAGTATGTGGTCGCAGATCGGGAAACAACTTAAAAAGTTGACATTTACGTACTTGTTTTCCTATTCTATGCTAAGAGTCATTTATTGTTAAATCTCTATTGTTAAATTGTTATAGTGAGTTTGGTTTCATTCGACTGAAGAAGCTTTATTGTCATATATTATATGGTTATTTGAAAGAAGAAAAAACCTAAGAAAATATCAGTGTGAAGAGGTCAAACAAGAAGGACAGTATTTCGCAATGGCGGGTCCATGCATGTGACTACATATGGAAATTTTTATAAAACAATTAAAAGATATGTAGAAACAATGAGCAAGGATAAGTAAGATATATTGATCCCTAATAGATATAATCAAGTGATGATGGTCTTAATGGTAAGAAATTGGAAAATAATACGTAAACTTGTGATCATTATGTTGAAATAGTTTTGTGCCAGTTATAAATTTTGGTGAATAGATTACTCAACGATTATATTCAAATTGGAAATTTAGTCGGATCATCTCTTGATTATCGAAATATATACAATGATATTTGCAATTACAGTTAGAATGACGGAGTGTTTACAACAACATTGTTTTTAACGCATGTGTGTTGTTTTCTTTCACGAACATGGTAATTAACGGTCCAAGTAAAGTTTTAAATATGCATATGATAATACTATAAGACCGGTGTGAATGAGACGGTTTCAATTAGCTTTTATTTTACTTTTTCGTTCTTTAAAATTATATTGCAACGAGATCACGTAGAAAACGTGGGCAGATGTTGTTTTATTCTTCAAAATTTATAAATTGCAATATGCGAATACTATATCTATATAGATGCGATGTATATAGTATGTTTAATCATATTAAGCAATGTATTCAAGTTGACATGATATATTCGACGTCCGCGTAAATCAGTTCGTCACCTACTTGCATTTATTATATTCAATTCATTATCTTGTGAGAAAAAATCAAATAATTTCAAGCTTGACTATATTTTTTGTATCATGCATGTCACATTCTTATATTTAATTTGAAATCGATGTTTCAAATAGGAGATATATTACAGAGTTTGGAGATAGAAACATATTTATGTTTCAAAACTACTACTTCTTTTTGGGAGAAAAGTATTCAATTTAAATTCCAAGGATACAAATTACAAATTTATGACATAAAATCATATAATTCACGGTAGTAGTTTTTGAATATGTTTAGAATAAATTTGATTTTAATACAATGACTTAGAGGACTAAAGAAAAAGTATAGATGTCGGCCCAGTCCGCATCCAAGTAACCTAATTCATGACGATCTTAAAAAAATTTTAGTCCGCACGGGCTGATCCGTCGCGGGTTGCGATATTGAAACCTATGTCCAAGCCCAACCCACTTAAACTAGCGGGTTAGAGGACCAATATGCGGGTCGTTTGACTTGTTTTTGTGAAAAATCAACGTAACATATAAAAATTTAGATTAAACTCCTAGAGTTTTGTTTCTGTTTGATTAACATAACATATGTGTATACACAGTTTGAGCTTTGTCGTAATACCACTATCAATTTGTATTATATATGTTTTTTTGCTTAGCATGTACGTAAACTTTTTATGTTTTATTCTTATGGTTAGACTCACATCTATTATATATGTTGTATTATTATTGATAACTTGATGATATATTTTTTTTTATTTGCAATTGATAAAGAGAATAGAAGTTGTTGTTTAAATTTGG